CGGCATCCCTGCCGCAGCACGGTTGCGCAGGCAGGGTGGTGCAGGCATGGAGCCCTGCTCCCCGCTAGCAGACTGGCTCTGCAAACCCAGCGATTTCCCTAGTCCAGGTGTGTGGATCTACGGCCTGAGGCCAGGGCCCAGCTCCCACCCGGGTAGAGGACCCAGAGATAGCCGGGCTCATGGTTTAACACTGCAGCGGGGTTTCAGCTCGTGTGTGCACGGGGGGCAGAGAGAACCAGGATCAAACCCCACTGCCAATTCTGCCCGGGGCACTGGGACAGTAGTGGTGCTGGTTGAAAAGCATTAGCACGGCTTCATGGTACATCTCATGCTTTGGAGCTATGGGACTTGGTTGTTCCCAGCCTTCCCAAAGCTCTTCCCCATCCCTGTTTTTCCCCAGGACACAGATAATTGCTCAATACTCAGGTCTGCCCTCCTTCCACCCTCTGCCTCCATTCTTACCAATTGCTCTTCCACGTGTGCCTCACATCTGTGTCATGGATGCCGTGCTTATCTGCCTGCTCGTCCAAGAAATCGAACATATACTTGATGGCCAGCGGGAGCGCGCTGCCGCGGTGCACGGTGCTGAACAGTGTCTCAAACAAGTCGTCCACAAATTTCTGCAGCGTACCCTAATGGGAGCAGCAACCGAGAAGGTGAAGGGAGGGACGGGCGCACGCTTGGCTAAGCAGCGGTGGCAGGAGGGGACGCCAGATGGTGTTGCCAGCTCTGCATAGCCCTGCAAAGTGCCACGGACCCCACAGGGGTAAGTAAGGTCGGGGTCTTTACGAACGCTGACTGCGCTGCCGGAGGACCCTGGGGGAATGCTCCAGCCTGCAGCTACTCATGGCTACACTTACTCTTTATTTCTAACCTGAAGCAATTTCTTTCACTTTCAAAAGCAAATCTGCATTATCTACACTTGGTGAAAGGCAGGAAGACTCTCTCTGGCCAAGGAAACCAGTTAAATATTTACAGGCACTGCTACATCTCTCCAACTCTTTGTGTTTTCATACCGTACAGAAGAATGAAGTATTGCAGCAGTCACCTTGCAGTGTGAGGAAACCTGGGCTGCGTTTCTGTTGCTGCTCCAGGAGCCACCCAACCCCTGGGGCCCAGGAAAGCCCGGCGAGGACAGTCCCCCGGGAGCTGAGCATCATTAGGGACTGCGCAGGACCCCCGGCAATGTGCATAGATAGACCGGCCTATGCATTTCCCAAGCGAATTTAGCGCACGGCAGTTACCTTTGTAGCTAATAGCCTGGTCAGGTAGATCTCAGACACCATCTTACTGCCCCGGTCTCCTTCCTTCTGGTCTCCGTGGTCGTGGTTTTTGACCAAGTGCCAGACCTTGACACCGCTCTCCAGGTCGGGGGTGATCATGGGGGCCCGGGAGCGCAGGCTGTCGGGGCTGCCGGTGTAGCGGAAGGTGGAGTCTGAATGGCAGGAAGAGAAGTGGGTCACGCTCAAAGCAAACCCCTTTTTCATTTCTCTGTCTCTTCTCAGTGATGCCACCGTGCTCGCTAGTGCCAAAATCATCTGCACTGGCTTTTTTTTAGGGGGCAATGAAATGTAATACCATCCAGGCACCAACAAAATTTGGTGTTTGCCAAAGATAGGTGTTGGTCTTCTGAATAGAGTCCCTCAGACTTGAGCCCTTCTGTTTTCACACTCAGACATGGGACTTTTCTGCTCCATTCACATCCTTTACTTATGTGAACTCCATAATACGAGTCCATGCAAGACATCTCCATGAGTTACAGCTCATACACATTAACCCTGGGCACCAACTCTTGCAGCACTGGAGTCCTGATATCAGTATTTTGTAAATAATAACGAGCTGCCCGGCACAAAGGGCAGAAGAAAATTGTTGTTCTTGAGCCTTTCAGCAGAGCAACAAGGGCTCAAGCTGAGCACGACTGCAGAGCCTAAGGCCAGCCCTGCATCCCGGCCGTGCTGCCCGCGGGGCTGAGCGGGGCGGCATCCCTGCTGTCCCCACGTCTGTACTCCTTCCCAGCAGGGAAAGGGGAGCTCAAAGGGGAGCAGACAAAGGTTTTTCCCTTAATTGCTCAGAAACCATGGAGGGATGTGAGATATATTTAACTTCCCAAAGAATGCGCCTCCCTGGATCCCATCCACGGTGTCTCCAAGCTGAGACACGGGGCTGAGCAGCACAACCGGGGGTTGTTGGGGTTTTTTTCCTCTCCCTAAATTTCTTTGTTCTCTGGGAACTTCATGCATTTTCTCAACTTTAGCCTCCAATTCACTGCTCACCCTGCTCAGCGAGAATAAGGGGATCAATCATAAATCAGCCAGGGGAAATACGCAAGTCATTACCAAACTAGCTAGATTTTCATCCCTGATTAAGGCTTAGATAAATGAGTACTCCAACTGATATAATTAAGGAGACAGACAGGGGGACAGCTAGGGAAGCATCTAGTAATTCTAATTTTAAACACAGCTCTGTACTGATATATAATGGGGGAAGTAAATAAGTATCTCATTTAAATTCTGTCTGCACAATTAGAAGTATTAATCTTAACATGAGCAATGATAGTTCACATTGGTAGTTTGCAAAAGCTTTTCCATCTGACATAGATCAATGAGCACTGAATCATAGAATCATAGAATCATTAAGGTTGGAAAAGACCTCTAAGATCATCAAGTCCAACCGACTCAGGTTGTGTGACCCAGCCTCGGTTTTTCCATCACCTGAAGCGCGGGAAGCGCTGGGCGCTCGGCTGGACTACACCCCGCAGGGAGAAATGCCTTTTCTCCTGGTTTTTGCCTAAAGACCCTCCTGTGGACGGCTCCTCAGAACCCTTGCTCGAGAGGAAACCCCATTATTTTGGGAGCTATAAACAAGAGGAAGCGGGTTTGTCAGGGGACCTCTCGTTTGTAAAACACTCTGTAAAATGAAAGATAATGAAAGATCAGTGCACCAGAGATTTTGCCACTGCTGCCTTTTATGGAAGTACATTATTACTATTATTGTGGATTTAGTGCTATAAACGCACACCTGGCACCTCGCAGACTCATTTACTCAGGCTGCAGCATCTTCAGGGACCCTCTGCAAAGTGCTGAGCCCTACCATTATGCAAATAATTAATTCCCAGGTGTGCACATCCGAGCACACCAAGTTAAGATTGCCGTTATCCATTTTTGACCCATTAGCTAAGAATTCAGGATCCTCCACTTACAGAAGAAATAGATGAAGGAATCGGGCTTTTCTCTGGCACAGCCCTGCTTACATGCAAGGGACACAAAGCTGCTTTCCTGCGGCGGGAGCCCCACTCTGGTGCTCTGCAGCATCCATCCCCTCTGAGCCAAAAGCCTTTCCCTGGTCTTTTCCAAGACCCACTTTTCCAAAGGCTGCTCACGTTGTGCTTGGCATTTCCTTTTCCCTCCTCTCAGCTTCTCTGGTCTTTTTGCTGTTCTGCTCACAGATGGAAAAGCCTTTGCAAAAAAACAAAGCCAAGGACATTTTTCTGTTTGGCACATGAATGTACTTTCATTTTGGACAACGTGGTGTGGTCCTTTGGGGAAAGCTGCTGCTTTTTCCCCACCTAATTCCCTTAAGGTGTTGCCCTCCTGCAACAAAGGCAGCTTCAATACCAGCCCCATCAAGATACATTCTCAAGTACAGCCGCAAGCTCCAGGCTGGCTCTAAAATGTGCAGTGCAGCAGGAGCAATGCCCAGTCGCTATCCGTGAGCCATCGTTTCCCAGCCCTTAACTCTGCTTCTTACCATATCTACTAATAGATGTCCGGGATATACTGGCAGAGGCAGGAATATTGTAGGAGGAGGTCTGTTTGGGAACGAGAGCCACAACTGAGCGGTCTGATACCTGGGGAGGCAAAGGAAGAGAAGAAAAGATCAGCGAGATCCACCATCCGCCCCGTGGTCACCAGCTGCTCATCCAGCAAGTGCAGGGAGCAGAAGTCCCCAGGGCCCCGCCTCGGCCGGGAGCTGTCGGCACGGCACGGGGCTCCCGAGGGCACGGGGGCAATCCTGCCGGCCGGCCGGGGCTCCCGAGGGCCCGGGGGCAATCCTGCCGGCCAGCCCCGGCAGAGACGCGCTCCTGGTCTGGCTGAGCTCTGTGCTGGGGCGGCAGCAGCTCTACAGCAAGGGACTGAAGGAAAGGAGCGATAAATCAAAAGACGTATTGAATATGTTTTTGGTCGTTCTGATTTAAGATTACGTTTTATCCAATAAAAATGAGAATCTCAAGAATTGTTGTGATCCAACTAAAGTAACAATGCAGAGGGAATAAAACGGCTATAATAACGGTTATGGACCATAAAACATTCCTATTAAACCATTTTTTATTTTAGCAATTTTTACGAACTTTAAAAGTTTGATTTACAGCTGAGCAAGTCATAAAGCCATCTTTCAGGGTATTAAATTGTCAGTCCCGCTACTGCACCAGAGAAGGAATTAAATGCTGGGAAGTCAAACTATAAATGAACATTAGTGCTAACAAGATTTTGTTATAGCAGATTTTAGTAGCCATGTTTAATTTTATCCTCCCTATAAATCTAGTAGTCACTGGAAGTTTTTTAACTTATTTCCCTTAATTAAGAATCTGCAGGTTTCCAGGGAATGGGCCTGAATGTCTTTTAATGTTGAACTCGTGGCCCGTGGTGCAGCACGGCGAGGGAGCAGAGAGCGGAGTCACCGCATCTCGCAGGCTGACGGCCCCGCTGGGGCCCAGCCAACACGTTATTTAGAGGAGCTGTACAAAAGAAATGCCTCTTTGTGCCAGAGAAATTGCTTTTGGGGCTAAGTCCTCCGTTATTTGCCAGGAGTCCTGCGAGGGACTCAGCACTGTCCCTACGCATGGGGAAGCTCCAGGGCAGCAGCTGGATTTTGCTTGCCCAGCACCTCCCCACGCTATCAGCAGAAGGGGTGTTTGTACAACGTCTGCCGCCGCGAGGTGACCTGCACACAGCGATCGCCACTGCCTAATGCTCCCTCCAAGGCTTTGGGTTCCGTTCAGTTGACAGCTTTCATGTAAATGCGAGTTATTATTATTGCCAGCGATAGTGGAAATAATAGTCACTTGTGTTGCATGGTACAAAAGTGAGGTATTTCTAAGCAAAACACTTCAAACACCTCTGTTATTTCCTCTTCTGCTCCAGCCTCACTTCATCCAATTTATTAAGTCAATGGAAGAAACTATCAGCAGTGATATTATTTTCTTAGGCTGTTATTAGCTGCCACTTCGGTTCAATTTCAGGGAGAAACCTGAGCGCACCGGCAGCCCAGGGTGCTCCCGCGGAGGCAGCAGCTCCCCGGCCACCGCACTGGGATCCGTTCCTACCAGGGCTGTGGTTAACTGGGAGAGAGGCATTAAAAATTCCACACACACACAGAGCACTCTCACTCTCTAAAATTTTGGGTCAAATGGCTCTTGTCAGCTAAAAAATACCAGCGTGCAAATTAGCATCAGATGTAACACACATTCGTTTCCCATCTCGCTCTGCTGTTGCCACACTCCCATAAAACCCCAGAGATGCCTGCGAAGCTGGCTGGCTGTTTTACAACTTTATAAATATTCTGATTCTTCTACGAGCTGGAAACATGCTGCACAAAACACCTTAAAGAAAAGAAAAATAAAACCTGGAGCGGGGAGAGCAGCAGTGCAGAAGCCCAGACAATAATACTGCGTTTGCGTGGGCTAGTGAGGATGCAGTGAGGATGATGGCTCCACGTCCATGCCACCCTCGGCTCCTGGGTCTCATTTTTCACACAAATCTTCCCTCTCTGCTTCTAATTTTTCATTTAAAATAGTTTTCTAGTCTCTTGGCCCTTCCAGACTCACAGTGGCTGACAGGTATTCACGCTTTGCTGCCTCGGAGTTAACCCTGCATGAGCCACTGTAAATCATATGATATTAAATTCAGTGTTTCCTTTTTCTTGAGTTAAGCCACGCAGGGTGAGACTCTCCCATGGAGTTTAATAGGTATGAAACCAAAAGGATACTACACAAATGTAATACAATTCCTTCAACTCAGTTCTCTCAGCTCCAGAGAATTTAACAAAGAATTACACCTATTTAACCTATACATCTATTTTTATAAAGGAAGAAATAAGCAGCAGGCATACAGCTGTCTATATAATTCTATAAAGTGGTTCAAAAATATTACAGAAAGATGAATATTTCTTTTTAAATCCAATCTGGCTTTTGCATGTGAAGGCTTCCCATGAAAAATACATCTTATCGGCTGATGCAGATATATATTGTAATTTTATCATCCTAAACACATAGAAAACGAATGTGATGGTGTCAAAATCCAGCAGCCAAGTGTGGAGCTGAGAAACTCTTGGAATTAAATAGCTGCCCTCTGCAGAGCCTCCCCACCTGCCCCAGAGCACGGCGAGCAGGAGGAGGCTGGTTTGGTCCCTGGCAGCAGTTGGAGCCCAGGAGCTGCAGGGAACGGGGCTGCGGAGCAAACGGACCCCAGGAATCAGGAGCAGGGGCAAGGCTGCGAGGACCAGGCAGCTTCTGGTCCTTGCTTCAGCGCTTATTCCCAGGAGACAGCACCTCTCCAAAATACTACAAAATGCCAGGTGTTATTGGATGGAAACATGGGCTGTGCATCTCCAACTACTGCCTCCAAATCCAGAGATCACTTTGCCTTCAGACCAGCAGATAAAAGCAGATGGCATCTGACCAAGAATAAAGACAAGACAGCTCCGAATAAAAGATGGAGAGAGCTTTACAGAGCTAGCTTTTATTTTTTCTAGAAATTTAGAAGTCATCTTCACTAGTTCTCCAGAAGCTGCAGAAATCTAGATTTCATTTTTATGGCTTGAACCACAACTGTTTTATACGTAACACTCCTGTTAAAATGGTGAGACAGCAGCACTTGAAACTCAAATGATTTCATACCCTCTTCTAAGATGTACCTTTGCCCACATATTTGTTTTACTGTGTAGTCCTGGAGCATCTGTATTTTTGATACCTAATAAAAACATTTATTACCCAAACAGAAAAAAACCTGGTAGGAATTAAAAAAAAAAAAAAAAAAATCACTGTTTGTTTTTGGCAAAAGCCCTGCCTTGACAAGATTTCTGTTGCAGTGCTGAGAACTTGGCTTCTTTTTATGGCTGAAACAGCTCTACCGGGCTGGGCCAGAGCGGGGAGAGCCATGCGCAATGGCTACCTGGTTAGATGTTTGGCAGCAAACTTCTACGTTGTTCCAGAGCAAAACTGACATTCAAATGGCAGGAATAACTGCAGCATCTCGAGTGCTGTGAGGATTTTGTTTATTTTAAGGGTAAACTTGTGGCTCAGATTTTCCCACAGGCACTAAAATGAAAGTACTCCCTCCCCTCGCACCCAACACACATCAGACAAACACGGCTTTCACTTGTGACTTCCTTAGATGACTTTTAAAGATCAAGGCATAATAAAGTCTCGCTGCTTCCCTGCATGTCGGTTAATCCCTTGCAACTGTCAGGTAAAACAGATTTTAAAAACAATGGAATTCATCTGCACAACTCGTATGACATTTTACGGTAATCTGTGTTTAAATCCTTCGGGCTGCTTGGAAAAGTTGACCCTCGAGGTGCTTTTTTACATGCACTTTGCATATTTATGCCATTCTCTCTGCCTGGCTCCCTGATTATATGGCTCCTGTCAATACTGGCTCACATTCAACTTACACAGCATGAGTCACGCTGATGGACTTGAGATGGTGTATAAACAGGGAAAGATGCCAGATTAAATACTAAACACTTCTGTGTAGGTGCTGATGGACAGTAGTAGGTTACAGGTCCCAATTAATGCAGTTATCCTCTGCTGCAGACAGGCTTTGAGTAAACGCCTTTGATTCTCTTTAACCAAACCTTCCTCAGCTCCGTCTTTACGTCTCTTTCCATCTTTCACACACCACAAGAAGCCCCTTCCAACAGATGCACGCCTATCCGGGGCAGCCTGGGCTGGGCTGGGGTATGCCTGCTGCAAAAGCTAAAGATGGCAACAATTTCTTAGGTCACCTCACCCACCCTGGCCGATGCACAATAGAGCATCTTCACTGCCTAGCTTAGTTTTATATGACTTCAGTGGCAAAAATCCTTTTACTTGGCTTGGAAGACTGTGTCTGGCACTTAGGAGGTTTGATGTCACTTTGTCAAGAAGTAGCCCCTGATATTCATCCTTTCTTGACCTGGCTTCATCCCGTACCTCCCTGCAGCACTCTCTTGACCCTCCCATATGACACTATTTGAAGTATTTGCTCTGTTTCCCTTCTTCACTCCTTGCACGATGCTCAAGAGTCAACACGTAGGAAGATCACTAGTATAAGAGACGAGCTGCCGCTGCAGCCTGTGCGTTGCATCAGATCATCTGATCGTGTGGTGTTTGCAAGGCTTTGAAGGAAGGCAGAGACCCCTCTTCCATCCCTGCTGCACTCCTGGTTGTCTCAGACCCCCAGGAGAAGACCTGAGCCCCACGTGCCATCCCTCCCCTGGCCCTGCATCTCCAGCAGCGGCAGCTCAGCCCTCGCCACTGCTCCCTCTATCTCAGTAGCACGGCTGGCAGTTTTAATTTAGGCAATTTTCAACTCTGCTAGTTTCTTTAAGATCCACGTCAAGGTTGCTTTCCCATCTAATGCGTAAGCACATTGAACCCTTCTGGTTTATCATACAAATGTGACCTCCCTGTCTGTCTTGGTAGATGAGATACTTGGGAATTAAATTTCTGCTTTTCTTTTCTTCCCTCCTGGCAGCTTTCTGGGAGCTGTCTGCTGGGGCTGCTTTCTTACCTGATAATGCATCAAGGTGTTCAAGCGCTTCCAATCTCCCTCAATCTTGGTGGTGATGTCTTCATCTTGCAGGACCACACGAGCTATCCGGCCCTGCCGCCACTCTGCAGGAGAGGCAAAAAACCAGGCAGATATGACGGTCAGAGAGGGAAAAGGCACTAAACAGGGTCTATCCAGTTCTGGCCCAAGTAACTACTGGAGAGATGAGCCTGTAGAAAAACCCACCTCCCAGGAAAAGGCACCCAGAGAAAGCTAAATTCTGCTCTTAAATCTTATAACTACAAGGAAGGTCACACTGATAGTTTTCTTGCAGCAAAGTGCAGCATTTTAATTCCCATGCGGGGGGATCTGCAGTGTTGAGCTAAATGAAGGCGCAGGACCTTCCCAGCCCCTCTGCCCCCTCTAGTAAGATACACAAGCCTGGGGAGAAGCTTTGCTCAGCAGAGTGAAGGAGGCTTCAGGAATCATTTGCTCTGTGGTCAATGGACAATTAGCTGATCCCACAGAGTTCAAAACCTATCCAGCAGGAACAGTGCCCATGCTTTTTAGGAGCAGAAGCGTGTGTGTCGTTGTGCAGCCTGAGCTCTACCTTTTAAGCTCTGCAAAACCCACAGAGAATCACTGATAATAACAACCTCTCTGACCTTCCCCGTCCTACGAGACAGGGGGCTCCTACCCAAGTCCATGTCAACAGCTCTTGGTCTTTGAGAATATGGGACGTTTTTGTATACTGCATCGAGGATCTTCTCTTTGACTTGAGTGATGGTATCGCAGTTCAGCACCTTCACAGGGATCTCTGGACTGTTCTCATTGTCCGGGTTCACACAGTTTAGGATCTGGAAGGGAAGGAGAACCACACCAGGCTCTAAAGGGCTTCAGACAAACATCCAGGAGAACTATAACCACATCTGTCACAACAACCCTTTCTCATAAAAAACCACTACATCCCCATTTGCATCATTGCTGTTGCATCTAGTAGATCTTTATAACAATAATTAGGATAGGAGCCCTGGACGTCCATTTTCATTTGCTGGAGGGAGGGCAATGCTCAATGCACAGGGAGATAAAACACTCCCCTCAAACCTTGCCTTTCAAAAATCTTAGCTCAGGCCATTTGTATCTGCAAATTAGGGACACACCCGACTTGGGCGTGGGCCTAGCAGCATGAGGCTTTATTGCACTGGCAACACTTGTGCTTCATGGTAGTCCTGATCACTGGCCTAAAGGTCAGAACAGCTCATGTCCAAGTGGGGAGGGCAGAAGCGATTCAATGGCAGCTTCTACGGTGATCACTCACCAGAGTCTTGTACTCAATTTGCTGCCGGATCAGCTTGTCCTCACTGAGGGAGTAACGGGCTTCTCCTGTGATGGCATCAATCGGACCTTTCTCCATCTGTTGCTTGATGGCACAGTAGAGCATGAAGAGCGGCTCTCCAGCACATTCCTACACAATGAGACAGACAGCAAAACTAACACAGAGGTGAAGGTGCATCTCCTCCAGGGCCGCTGGCCTGCAGACAGGTTTTGCACGTGATTCATTTCAGTGGAGGCATAGTCCCACTGACTCAATCTTTAGGACATGTGCAATCCAGGCTCAGCCCCCAGCAGCTCCTGGAGAGGACAGCCAAAACCACGAGCTCCATTGCTCAGTGGGTATGTTGTCTTTGGCTTGGTAAATCTGCTGAATCTATATGGCTGTAAAAAAGGAATTTGAGATCTTGATTTCATTGTTCACCCCCATGAAGCAAATTCTGTGGGGCTTCCAAAACCAAAAATAAAATTAAAAAATATGGAAGCCCAGCCATGGAGATGTAAGTGAGAATTTCTCCTAAGTACTAAAGAGGTGCAACAGAAACTCCATTACATGAGAATTACACCAGGCAATCCGAGGGTTGAAGAAGGCTGAGCATGGAGGCTGTGCAGCTTGGCTCAGCCCACGTATCAGCAGCCCCAGGTGCAGGCATCTCCCAGCAAATTTCCACCTCCCCTGCCTTGCTGCTACATCTTTTGACTTGGAGTCTGACTGAAGAGTTTTAAAGCCTAGATTCACCCCAGGGATGGCTAGTGGGTCAGACAGCAAAGCGGCAGCGGGGTCTCGGCTGCATCCCTCCTTACCTTGAGGAACTTGTGGAGGAGGAAGGCAAACCAGTTAGTCAGCATCTTCTCAGCCACCGACTCAGTCCTAGGGAAGCCAGGAGGAAGCACGCGTTACATACAAAACCAAACCACGCATCAGAGGCCCCAAATCTCCCTGGGGGTGGCACCACCCGGCTGCACCCTGGCACAGCCCCCGTGGTGCCCTGGACCAGGGCCGTGGCTCCGGAGCAGGCAGGCAGCAGGATGCGGCCACCGCTGTCCCCCCTCCCTGCTGCACCGAGCTGACAGCAGCTTGCCCAGCTGACAGCCTGTCACAGCCCTGATGGGGCTGGTGACAGGGAGCCTGGTGACACTCACGTGGTGCAAATTACAGCCTGGCTCAGTAAATCACTGGGATTTGCAGCGGTTGCTGGCAATCAGGGACAGCAGAGTGACAATGGCAGGGAAATTGCAGCTTTCTCCCCAGTCCCACCCAGTGTCCTCTCCCCACATTGTGCCCAAGATTATCTCTAATTTAAATACAATGGCTTCTAATGATAGTTTTTAATGCTGGCTCTGCAGGACCCAGAGACTCCCTAAAGCACCACAACCCCTTTTCCTGGGACAGGGTGGCTGTGCTGGTGGCAGGGTGTCTCACAGTCCACATCTGAGCCCCAACCACGCCGCTCAGGCTGGGGGTGTGTCCTGGTTTCGGCTGGGACTACAGGCGCGATTCCGCTACTGACCGGCACGGGAGGTGGGATTGCTTTTGCTCAAGGACCTGGGTGCACTTGGTGGGTAATGCAAAAGGATGGGGAAGTCCGGTGTGTACCTCAAGGGGATTTGATTTTGGGTGAAAATAGCCAATGAACTGAATTTTATGATGTCAATTGTTATATGATATTGTATATCATTTCTATAGTTGCTATCAATGGTATAGCAGGAAAAACCACCCAGATTAATGAAGAATGAACTA